AAAGCCCCATTTTTTTCACTTAATTGTTTATAACTTTTGTAATTTTTATCGGCGCGTTTTCGGACCTTTCCTTAAACTTTCTAGGCAAAAATACGAATCGAATGACACCTTGGTCGTAATTTTTGGACAGGGCTGAAAAATGTCACCAAAAAGAGGTAAATCGAGTACATGTGAACCAGACTAATTTAAGGGGGACGAAATATAAATTAATGATAAAATAAATATTTTTTGAGAAACATGAAAATTGATCTTATTTTTTGAGCAGGTAACGTATATTGAAATAAGCTCTGTGTATTGCAATCAAAATTATACAAAATTTCGGTATAACCTGGTTAGAAAAACACAGATCACTACAAGTAGGCTCGATGTTTGTCAAATTATTGACAGATACTCATCAGAAATGATAGAAAATTAATCAAGGAAAGACAAATTGAGTTTTCAGACGAATTCAAAAGTATTCTGATAAATGTGTTGAAACTGATGGTACTGGGGTTTTTAAAGGGAGGGATGTTAATTTGTGATGATAATTTCATTGGGGTGGTTTTCTGAAATCTTTCCGAGTGGAATTCTTCAAAATGACAGGAATTGTAGGAAACGAGTGTTGCCAGTATTTGGATATAGCATTATTTGCAGAAAATTTCGTAGACAGTATCATCCAGGAAGCTGAAAGTAAGTTATCATATAATTAATGACAATTTTGAATATTTCAAATGTTATCTGAATAGTAGAATTTGAAAAATATTCTTTGGGCAAGAGAACATAAAAATGTTCATTGTGGTTCAACAACAAAAATTATAGGCAGACCATCTGATTTTCTATGCGCGTTTGTGATTTCAAATGAAAGAATCCAAAATTGATAATTATTGGCAGTAACTGATATTTGCTTTCTGTCTATTCTATTTTTTAATGACATGCATATACACATCACAATGAGGAAGTTTTGTCTACGGAAATAAATATTATTATTGTTATTATTATTAAGGTACAATAACAACAGAGACTGGGCAAAAATCATTCAGCGTCGTATCTACAGAAAATTACGAATTCAGATCTTCAGTATATTCAGCGGAGTACTATACTTTCATCGACGAAAAGCGGGAATTTAGCTCTTGGCCGACCATTGAGAAGTTCACCATAAAATTAGGCGCAGCGAAAATAAACGAATATCTTTCCTCCTTTCCAGTCGTGGAGGAATGGTTGTATGCAATATATTTTCTCAGAACCAGGGAGGAAAGAGTTTCCAGTTTGCATGAGTACGAGGTAAAAGTTTTTAGAATAGATAAAACTTCGATAAAATACATTAATATTCAAGAAACCGATCTACAAAACTGCTTTAGTTAAAAGTCGAGATTTCGAGAAAAAATTCAAATTTGCAGTGAAAGTAGTTTTATTTCATATCATTCCACTATTGTTAATAGACCGCGAGCCCCTGCTGAATTTTTGTAATGGAAAATATAAAAATTTCTCAGATTGAAGGTCATTTGTCAGGGTTGAAGGTTATTCATATTGTACGGCATCGATTCCAAAATATTATTAGGTCATTCCTGCCCCCCAAATATGAGTTGCAGTCCTCGTGGTTCTGGTTCCCTTCCAGTGGAATAGCTTCATGAAGCAAGAGCCGAATCGATCCCCCTACGAAACCCTTCTTTACTTGAAAGGATCGATCGCAGCTTGAGAAATGGTTCTTATGCAGATTATGTGAAACATGTTCTTCCTTACGTATCAGTAGAGAGTTGTCCTGAAAATGTTGAGAAGAAAATTGAATTAGATAATTCTGGAAACACTTGCTACATGAATAGCATTTTACAATTGTTGTTCATGACGAGAATGTTTCCTACTTATTCACCAAACTCAAACACCTGTTCATGCAGCTGCAGTTTCGTAAGAATGTATCATCTTTCCCACCAACCGATTTCTTGGAGTCTTTGAAGACTACTAGATACTCGTTAGGACAACAAAAGGATTGTTCTGAATTCTTGGGGTTCTTGTTGAATAGGTACTCTTCGTGGGCAAAACAATAGCAGAATCAATACTTCTGGCCACTCTGGATTGAATGATTCCATACAGTCTATCTCGTCTTGTGTTTGTGAATCTTTTTCTGAAAAAATCCTCACTTGTTTACTTTGTAGTAAATGTTCAAGAGGTAGCAAAAACGTATGTGAATTTCTGGAACTTCATCTAGCATTTCGTAATATGACTAATAACCAGTCCGAGCAAAGCTTATTGTTAAATCAACTGAAAATGGAATTTTCAACAGGTGATGATCGACAGTATTGCCAAAGATGCGCCAAACTAAATGACTGTTATAAGGAAACAAGTATGGCTCAGGCACTAGTCAATCTATTAATAACACTGATGATCTTCAAACAAGACTCAACTTCTGACGGAAGCACCAAACTCTTTCGAAGGTTCAAAATAGATGAACACTTCAATCTAGCAGACCACTATAATAATATTCATCCAGTCATTGTTCACTGTGGTTCTGGCATTGAATTTGGTCATTATTACGCCTTGGTCAAAGACGACGATAGTCGTGTCACGAAGTGTTCTGGCGATGTATTGAATTCATTGGAGCCTCTGGAGACACCCTACATTTTGTTTTATGAGAGAGATGACATTGGCAGATCCAGATCTTCAAATGATGTGGTGCTGCAGGTTTTTCCGGATTTTCCTGCAGCTGAAAAAGCAAATGCGCCACTGGAATCAATGAAGTTAAAATAAATTCCTAAAATACATATCTTCTGAACTAAATATGTCTCTAAGTTAGGGCTAATCTATAGGATCAGCCCTGGCTGGAAAAGGCATAAAATCGACCATAATTGGAAGGATCTATGCCACGCTGGTAAAAAGAACTGCAACTATGACTCGTCAAGACGAGGCCATTAGGTTCAAGGTCACCAAGGCCTGCCCTCAAGGTAGGGTACTATCTCCCTTTCTGTAGTCGCTCCTGGTGAATAGTCTGCTTGTCTGCCTCGTTAGAAAAGAAGTAGATCTGCAACTTATGCAAATAGCCTTATCACCTTGTACGTTGGAAGATGTTCACAGTTGGTGACAGAGGGAGCAGATGTCTGTCAACCTCAGCAAAACTGTGATAATCCCCTTTACAAGGAGGAGAAAATTGGACGATTCAACGCCACTTTCCCTCAATGGTGAGGTCATTCCATTTAGGGGGAGGTGAAATATCTTGGCATTGTTCTCGATAATAAAACTTACCTGGAAAAAGTTTTACACAAATCCAGACTGTCCCTATGGACATGTCGAAAGAGTTGTGGTCACAATTCAATAAAAATGCATCGTACAGTTGAGCAGCGTTGCAAGCTCTTGGATCCTACCGAGCAAGGTCTAAATTGGTAGCAAATTGCCAAAAACGACTGTCTTCAATAGAAAGATTCAACAAATCGTTTTTGGTCTGGATTTATGACCACACTGGCCTGGAAGGCAAGAAGATTTAAGGGCTTCTGGCAAAATCTTCCAGGATTGGCTCACTCCAAGCGTTCATTCACCCTTCGAAGCTTGAAATCAAACAGTTGTTCTATAAAGTAGGGATGAACTACGATGTCTTTCAGGCCTTCTTACAGGTCACTGTCATTTGAATCATCATATGCAGAGATTCGGACTGCCGGAAGACAGTGTGTGTCGCCTCTGTTCGGAAAATGGTGAAACAGCAGAGCTTTTACTTTGTGCTGCAGACTTAATCGGGTTTTCAGAGTTTGGTAGAGCCACACTCTTAAAATCTGACCTGAAAGACCACTCACCATACAAACTAATCGGCTTCGTTAAGAAGCTGTTGCAGAAGTTTGGTTGAGTGTGAATAGGTGTAAGCTACAATAAATCCGTGCGCGTTGCGGTGGAGGGTCGAAAAGACCCACTTACTTTTGACCCAACCTAACCCAATTCCAGAATTGGGTCTTCTTTCTGAAATTAACTTTCATGTACATCCTAGAAGGATGTTTGCAATTGAATTCCATAGATACAAGTATGGTACGCATTCCTCATTATCTAGATAGGTTTCCAATAGCTGTATACTAGATGGGCTAGGAAGTTCGTAGACAAACACACATATGGCGCCACTAGTATAAAAACCATATAATTTTTAGTCAACCCTAACCTACAGAAGACTGGCGTACAAATTTCACAGCTGTCGGACTGTTAGTTTGTGAGATATAACATTTCGAGTGAAGCAACTTCTGTTAGTTTGAAGAAAGTGGATAAAAAGGAATTTCGTATGTTAATAAAGAATGTCTTTATGTCAAAAAAATAATACTGTTGAAGCCAAGGCTAAGCTTGATAAACATTATTTGGACTTTGCATCAGGAATATGGACCGTTGCTGACCGTTTGCTCATCCCAAAAATTTCACAATTCTTAAAAAATTGGAAATACATTTTACAGGTCGGCGAAAATTCTTGCAGGTCGGGTCTCCCAGACATAAATCTTGACCAGGTTGATCATTTTCGACAAAAACAACTCCAACCCCCACCCTTTGAGTATGGAAAAATTCCACATTCCTCATTAAATTGAAAATAAACCTTGCAGGTCGGCCGAAATTCTTGCAGGTCGGGTCTGCCAGACATGAATCTCGACCAGATTAATCATTTCCGACAGAAAAAAAATCCAACCCCCACTTAATAATTTCACAATTCTCAAAAAATTGAAGATACATTTTGCAGGTCGGC